AAAAAAAAAAAAAAAGCAGCTGTTACTTCTTGCCCAACTGGTTAATGAAAACAAGAATATAATCAAAGAAAAATTTAGAGTTGGGATAACCTCCAAAACCAAAGCCGATACCTTTTTAAAAGGTCATTATCATCAAATGTTTCTAAAATGTTTACATTCAGAGGCAGATTGCTGACAACAGCAATTTTAGGATAGTTTGTGGTTTGATCTTAGTGACTTAGGAGTCCTCTTCACTACTACCAACCTTTCACAGATTTAGGAGCTAATTTTAGAGCTAAAAGGCTTTGTGAAATACTTAGAGCAAAAATTTAGGAGTCCTAAATATAGGTTTGACGCCCATTATTTTTAAGATTTTCTCCTAAATCGGCGAGTTATAAGCTACTTTTAGCCTTAAGATGTTTTGTGAATACGGGCCCTGATCATCAACTCTTCAATAGAGACAGCAAGACATGAGTTGGGTGTGTATGATAAGGGTGGCATACAAAGTGTGCAGAGCTTAGACCTTAAGAACAGGTTTGAAAACCCCTGATTTATACATCAGTTTTGGTCCTCAAATCTGATTGGAAAGGCCTTTCAAGAGTGCTGATATAGGACTAGTATCTGCTCTGGGATATTTCACAGTTGTATCACTCCACTTGTCTGCACATTCTAGACAGGCTATAAGTCTGAATATTAGTGAGGTTGAAATTAAGCAATTTCAGTGAAGGTTACATTATGGCAGTAGTTGGTGGCAAGTGATTGTGACTTGAGTGAGGCAGTAACCATTGAGCCAGCACTGATGCCAGTCATAAGAAATCCATTTAAAGGTAGCCTGTTCACACAAAATGAACATTTCTGTTTTAAAAAATAGTTACATCCATCCTCAGTCACCTCCCTAATTCATTCTCTTGGGGACTGATTGAAAAATGGCAGCTGTTTTATGTGCATCAGCGTGAACAGATCTGTACTAGTACATACTCACTATTTGAAGTGTATTTCTAAAAATGACAGTTGCACTAAAGGGTTTGAGAGTAGCCCTACTGCAAAAGATTTTCATAAATTCTCAAGGAAACAGATGAGGGAATTAAAAACAAAAATGGAAGCCAATTTATTGTTTCTGATAGCTTTTTACAGCAATGCTGCACAGCTGAAGACAAAGACTAGCTCAGAGGGAAAATGCTCAAATTCTGTCATAGAAGATTTGCTTCATCATTGCATAATTATTTCAATATGGCTACTAATACTGTTTTATAGATATCTAGGAAGTCAGAGAATCAATACTACATTGGGATGATGGTGGAATTGGACAAATCATTTAGGTGAGTACGAAAGACTGTGCATAAAGAGTTATAATATTAGTTATTATGCAACACATACCTTTAGCATCATTTGCAAAACATTGTTTAATTTAAATACATTTGTGCTGGTTTTATATTTGGATTTTTGCTGTCTATTTGTAGCTGGGTGGATGGTTCACCCGTTGTATATACGTCATGGGATCAAAATGAACCAAATTTTGCCAACAATGATGAGAACTGTGTGACCATTTACAAGAGTATGGGTAAGCACTCCTCATCAGAAATGTTCCTTTTGTAGCTTGTGAGTGTGTCGTCAGTGAACACCACATCACTTTCATGCCTTAAAGCAAGGGTATCCAAACCTGCTTCTGGCCAACTTTCTGCAGAGTTAGCTCCAACTTGCCCCAACACACCTGCCTGGAGTTTTCCAGTAAGCCTAAATATCTTGATTAGCTGGTTTAGGTGTATCTACTTGGGGTTAGAGCTCCAGCTGGGGCAGGATAGTGGCCCTGCAGAAGAAGGACTGGACACCCTGGCTTTAAAGTCCCACTCTTTTTATTATCAAACATTTTTAAAGACCTGCAAGTAATGTTTAAATAAATAACACTTCACAACAAGGTTAAAAAATGGTTAACAAATGTGCATATTAATATTTAATTAAAGATAAGTCATGTTAGTATGAATCCTACTGTACAAACATTAGTAACACATTATCTGATGTTTCCAAACACTGAAGACTGAAGTAATAGCTGATGAAAATTCAGCTTTGCATCACATGAATACATTTCTTGTTTATATGGCACATTTGCTTTTTCTAAATAAAAAAAGTAAAATGTTTGCAGAAGATGTGCAGTATTGCACACGCACACATACAGCAGGCTAGTGCACTCCCCTTATGAAAAGCTTCATAATACGGCACCAACTTTTCTTTGTTTCATCATATTCAATTAATGACTGAAAACTGAGGTTTATAAGAATACAGACAGTGATGAAGGCTAAAATAAAATAATGTAATTATTTAGATTAAATAATAATTAATTGACAGTCCTAATTGAAAGTGAAAGTGAAAAAGTGACATGACATGTGGCCAAGTATGGTTACCCATACTAGGAATTAGTGCTCTGCGTTTAACCCATCCTAAGTGCACACACACACACACACACACACACCGTGAACACACACCCGGAGCAGTGGGCAGCCATTTATGCTGCGGCACCCGGGGAGCAGTTGGGGGTTCGGTGCCTTGCTCAAGGGCACCTCAGTCGTGGTATTGATGGGGGAAGAGAGCGCTGTACATTCACTTCCCCCACCTACAATTCCTGCTGCACTTGAGACTCAAACTCGCAACCTTTGGGTTACGAGACCGACTCTCTAACCATTAGGCCACATTGTTACTCAATGTGTCATTATAATAGCTTATCCACTCTCTGGAAAGAGCATCACTAAACATGATTTACAATTAATTTGAAATAAAATTTTCATTGTAACATTTAATGATAAAAAAACAAAACAATCATTACCACCAAAACATGTATTGTATTTAAATTATCATAACTGCACTCACTCTTGTGCTTTCAGCCAATATATTACACAGACAGGTAATGGCTATATCAAAATGGACAAAAATAATGAATACACATTTCTACTTTAATATGCCTTTTCACATTTGGTGGCAAACTTTTGAAGCCAGAAATTTCCCTGATAAAAAGTTACGACTGAAGCTGAAACTCATGTGCTCAATACAAGAAAACAAATCTCATTGGTTCTCACACATCACATGTGCACGTTTGAGCTTCTGTTACCATATTTAAAGGGATAGTTCACCCAAAAAAGAAAATTCTGTCATTAATTACTCACCCTCATGTCGTTCCAAACCCGTAAGCCCTTTGTTCATCATCGGAACACAAATTAAGGTATTTTTGATGAATTCCGAGAGCTTTCTGACCCTTCCATTGACAGCAAGGGTCCTACCATGATCAAGGTCCAGAAATGTAGTAAGGACATTGTTAAAATAGTCCTATGACATCAGTGGTTCAACCGTAATTTCATGAAGCTACGAGAAAACTTTGTGCGCAAAGAAAACAAAAACAATGACTTTATTGAACAATTCGTCTCCTCCGCTTACACCTCTTACCGCTTTCACCGCTTACGTCTCCACCCTGGTGCCATTTTGGAGAGTATCACATACGTAAACAACGTATGTACGTGGATACGTTGTTTACACTCAGATAAAAGCGTAAACAATGTATCCGCGTACAGTGCTTTTGACACAGAACAGCATACATTGTTTACGTATTTGATACTATCCAAAATAGCTCCAGGATGACGCAGAGGAGACAAATTGTTGAATAAAGTTGTTATTTTTGTTTTCTTTGCACACAAAATGTATTCTCGTAGCTTCGTGAAATTACGGTTGAACCACTGATGTCACTTGGATTATTTTAATGTCATTATAACGTTTCTGGACCTTGATCGTGGTAGGACCCTTGCTGTCTATGGAAGGGTCAGAGAGCTCTCGGAATTTGTCAAAATTATCTTAATTTGTATTCCGAAGATGAACGAAGGCCTTACGGGTTTGACACGACATGAGGGTGAGTAATGTCAGAAATTTCATTTTTGGGTGAACAATCCCTTTAATGTGTGTAAGATAAAATAAAAATGCAAAAAAATAAATAAATAATGAGTACTTTTCAAGTTGAAATAAAATTGTAAGGAGTAAAAATTACTTTTTTTCCCCTCAGAAATGTAATTACGTAAAAGTACAAGTAGTCAGGTTAAACTGTACAGGAATAAAATACAAATCCCCCCAAAATAATACTTAAGTACAGTAAACAAGTAAAAATACTCAAGTATTTTAAACCCCTTGGAGCTTAAGCACAACCCAGTCCCACGGCATTTCGTGACATGTTCACGAAATTTTAATCTATTGATTCGTGTTGACACCGACCCTTTTTTTTCGTGTCACTCAGCACGATTTTCAGTCTAATGCATTTCAATAGGGAGTAACTTTCGTGCCTGCACCATGTTTTCCTTTCTGCCTCTCCATCCGCAATCTGCTGTAAAACTGTCTGTTTACTGTGCACATTCAAAATTGGCACCCGAGGAAGCAAGTGTTACGTCAGCTTTGATCGTGAAATGGCATTGGCTGTCTTGTGACTGATTGCGTCATAACGTCATCTTAGATTCCGTAATGGCATTGGATCTTGTCTGTCTCATGACTGATTGCGTCATGTTATTATATTTCAACGTCATGTGCGTTCACGGAGCAAGATTATTTCAGCGATAAAACATTACATTTCGCTCAGTCTGTTCATATAACAACATCGTATGGCTTCGGAAGATTTGAAATGCAACATGAGATGTTTGTAATACTTTTATACGGTTTGTGTTCAGTTTTTGCAATAAATACATGTGCCTGTACTTACATTTGCTTGTGTTTTATATCGTTGAGAAGTAGGTTTAGGTTTAGGGCAGGGGTGTCAAACCCAGTTCCTGGAGGACCACAGCCCTGCTTAGTTTAGCTCCAACCGTAATTAAATGCATCTGATCCAGCTAATCAGGTCCTTCAGGCTTATTTGAAAACTACATGCTATGCGTGTTGGAGCAGGGTTGGAACTAAACTATGCAGGGCTGCGGCCCTCCGAAATGCCAAATCACATGCAGGTTTTTTCAGACCGGAGACCATAATGGTGTAATAATTTATTTTAATATGATATGAAACGTCCAATTTTTCTTTCAGTAATGTTTTAAAGTTTTTCACGAATTTCGTGATACTAAACGTTTTATTAGTTGTCATAGCAAGTGATTTTAAAAGTAGGATGGCTCCCTTTTTATAACATGACTGAAAATTTTACTTGAATTCGTAGTTTATTCTTACTTTTGGAAACCTAATTGTTTTATAATTACTATTATTATTTCTGTTGTTTCTAGAAATAGTAATTTTGATAATAGTCAATAGAAAAAAATATAACCACACATACATTGTTTGTCCACAGAATAATTACACATTATTAAATAAAATGCGTCCCCGCACGAACCTCTACCTCCGCCAGCAGGACCTCAATTTCAGATTCAGTAAAGTTTTTTTTTTCTTTGTGCTCATGCTTGTGCTTCAAGCATAGAAATTCAGATATTGGTGCGTGCTCTCTTATATGGTAATGATATTAATTAGGGGGCGTTTACAAGGCGGAGATCTGACACCAGTCAGCTGCGCACAATTTCAAGATCATTTGCAATTTATAAATGTCACATCTGGAAGAGAGGCGTACGCACGTGTTTTTGTGCGCATGTTCGTTTTCTCTGAATTGCACTTACACACTTTTGAGAAATGATCTTAGAACAAATTTAGGACGGTTTATACGCAACATTTTATAAATGAGGCCCCTGGTTTAGGGTAAGGAGTGGTGTTAGGTGCTCTAAAACAGGGGTGTCAAACTCAGTTCCTGGAAGGCCGGGGCCCTACAGAGTTTAGATTTAACACTAATTAAACACACCTGATCTAACTAATCAAGTCCTTCAGGCTTATATGAAAACTACATGGTATGAGTACTGGAGCAGGGCTGGAACTAAACTCTGCAGGGCTCCGGCCCTCCAGGAACTGAGTTTGACACCCCTGCACTAAAATAATACATATAAAATATTTTCTAGTTTTACAAACGTGAAGATTTAAACACTGAAGGGGTACTGCACAGAGATAATCCCTATTGAAATGCATTACACTGAAAGTCGTGCTGAGTGACACAAAAAAAGGGAAATTTGTGTCCATGAACACGAATCAATAGATTAAAATTTTGTGACTATGTCACGAAATGCTGTGAGACTGGGTTGTTAAGCAAAAACCCAAAAGTCTTAAACTTGGAGTGTGCAACTATAGGTAATTTTTGTTTTATTTGTCCCCTCAAAAACTGATGTTTGTATAACATAATAAATAGTTCTTGATTCTTCTGGAATTATAAAATGAATTACAATCATTGGTAACACTTCACAATAAGGTTACATTAGATAATGTTAGTTATGTATTGCCCTAGTGCAAGCAACTTGTTTCATTTGGTGATATATTTGCCAAGATATCTGAAAATAAAGTTTTTTATGGCAGCATATTTGTGTTATATTACCTTTGCATCAAATTACAAAAAAAAAAAAAAAGTTAACGCTGCTGTGAGGGTGTTTCTAATACAGCGTCTGTGGAAGTGACGGTAAATTTGACATCAGTCTCTCTTCTGACTGCCATTATCAGTGTCTCTTTTTTTTCTTTCTCTCTCTCATTCTCATCGTGAAAACACTATTTTGGAGATTTTCTTCTGCTGTTTGATCAATTAGGAATGCAAAATGTATTTGACAGTCTCCAATTCACCACTATAAAGGTTTTAGCATTTATTTATTTATCTTTTTATTTGTTTGTTTGTTTAAGGATTCTGGAATGATATTAACTGCGGTGTGGCATTGCCCTCTATCTGTGAAAGAAGTTCTGACTTTGTCAATGTCACCATGTCCCCCTCCACTGTGCAACCAGGAGGCTGTACTCCCGAATGGACCATGTTTCGAGGCAAAGTAAGAGCTATTGTAATAGATAGATAGATAGATAGATAGATTGCACTGTCTAATTGCTCTAAGTAAAAGTATTTTCACTTACATAAAAGTCATTTAAAATTCAACTTTGTTAGAAACGCAATAGGCAGCTGCACATTCTAATTCAAAGCACTTGTATTTTTAAATAGTGTTACAAGCTTTTTAATAATAAGATGACATGGCACAATGCTCGGGACCACTGCATTTTGCATGGAGGCAACCTGGTGTCCATTCTGAGTCAGGAAGAGCAAGGTGAGCATTTCACTTGTGATATATATTTGCATTCACATAAAAGAGATGGATGTTGTGAGAAAGCTGCTTAAGAGGAGAAAGTAACAGCAATATTGCAAATTACAAATAAATGCAGGTGGAGAAATTTAAATGGAGAAGAATATGAAGAAATTGACAAATATCATTATATAATGAAATAAAGATAATCATTATTTTCCCCTTGTACAAACTGGATAATGGCACATTATAGGGGTGTAACGGTACACAAAAACTATGGTTCGGTACGTACCTCGGTTTTGACGTGACGGTTTGGTATTTCGGTACTGCAGGAGTAAAAAAAAACGAAACATAAATTGTTTTTTTTTTTTTTTAACAATGGTTTACTGAACAAATTGCTCTTTCTTTAAATAAATTCAATATAATTACAATTTTCTTAGGGATAAAAATCTACCTCAGCTTCTGCGGGAGCCCTTTTAAATTACTTTAAGGTTACAATTAACAATAGAGCCCAAACTTAAATTCGATTGCTGTTTATTTTTAGCTATAATAACCAACACTCAAATTAAAAAATTGTATTCAAACATCTAAATTGTCTTTAAATTAACTTCTAAATTATACAATTTATATTGTTCTGTTGTTGAGTCATAACTTGTTTCATAAAATGTTTATTTAAACATACAGTCATGGCCAAAAGTTTTGGCAGTGAAATAAATTTTGTGTTTTGCAAAGTTTGCTGCTTCAGTATTTGTAGATTATTTTTCCACATGTTTCTATGGTATACTGAAAAACAATGATAAGCATATCATAAGTTTTAAAGGCTTTTATTGGCAAAAAATATAATGAGTCAATATTTACAGTGTTGACCCTTGTTCTTCATAACCTCTGCAATTCGCTCTGGCATGCTGGATATTAGCTTCTGGGCAAAATTCTGACTGATGGCGATCCATTCTTGCCTTATTAGGTCTCAGAGTTGATCACAATTTGTGGGCTTCTGCTTGTCCACTCGCCTTTTGAGGACTGACCAAAGGTTCTCTATGGGATTGAGATCCGGGGAGTGGCCTGACCACGGATCCAAAATTTCAATGTAATGATCTT